TAGTCAGAACTATCTTGTTTATGAATTCCATGAGACAGCCCATAAATCTGTCTTTAGGCTTAAGCTAGTTTGAGTGGGGTTTCTGTCACTTGAAACAAGAGTCCTGACTACTGCAGTTGAGTGAAGTTAAAAGGTATAGCCTCAATAGGTGAGCTAGCTCTCGCTTTAAAAGGCTTCCAGTTTGAATTACACTCCATTCCGTCTAGTGCCCCTAGAAAGAGCCCTCTCTAACACAGGCCTGCAACTGGCAGACATGCTTTTGTTTTTTTTCTTTGCAGGAATTTTACTGCCTTGATTTGGGACAGATTATCAGAGGTGGGCACCATTATCCTCTCTTTCATACAGGATTTATCACATGTAAGTATTTGTCTTATGTTTGGATGCTACATTTAGGTTAGAATTTAATGATCATGTCTCTCATCAAGATTACCCACATGATCACTCTAAGGCTGTTGTAAGCCTAACTGACAAGTATTCCATATGTCAAGATGTTAAGTGCAATGCAAAATAAGATGCAAGCATCAAATGGAACTGAGAAAGAGATGCTAGAAATCTTCACCTTTACTGCCTTTCTTGATGATAACCTTGCATCCTGTGAGGGAAATAGTGTTACAGTGATAGAAAGGTAAGGTTCTGAAATTGGAAGAGATTGGAGGCCAGGTGTGGTGGTTCATGCCTGTAATCTCAGCATTTTGGGAGGCCAAGGTGGGTGGATTGCTTGTACGCAGGAGTTCCAGATGAGCTGGGCAACATTGTGGGACCCCATCTCTAAAAATAAAAATTAAAAAAAAATTAACGGTGTAGTGGCTCACGCCTATAATCCCAGCTACTCAGAAGGCTGAGATGGGAGGATCCCTTGAGGAGGTCAAGGCTGCAGTGAGCTGTGATCATGCCACTGCACTCCAGCCTGGGTGACAGAGTGAGACCCTGTCTCAAAAAAAAAAAAAAAGATTGGAGGGAAGAGTTTTTGAAGATACTGTGGTGCAGGGAAAGGGTGTGCCATGTATATGTAGAGGGTCCTCAGCTTTCCAAACTTAACTCTGGAACAGGCTACCTTTCATACATTTTATATACTGTATACTGACAGACCCAACACACTTTTCAAAGGACACATTTGAGCCTTCTTTAAAAAATTTTTTTTAAGACAGAGTCCTGCTCTGTCACCCAGGCTGGACTGCAGTGGCACAATCTTGGCTCACTGAAACCTCCACCTCCTGGGTTCAAGCGATTCTTCTGCTTCAGCCTCCCAAGTAGCTGGGACTGCAGGTGCGTGCCACCATGCCCAGCTATTTTTTTGTATTTTTAGTAGAGGCGGGGTTTCACTGTGTTAGCCAGGATGGCCTCGATCCCCTGGCCTGGTGATTCCCCCCACCGCCTCGGCCTCCCACAGTGCTGGGATTACAGATGTGAGCCTCTGCACCTGGCTGTACTACTTTGAATAGGTCTTAATAGGTATTAATTGTTAATTATTTTTAAATTGATTTCAAAAATCTCCTACAACATGGATGAAACTTGAAGATATTATACTTAGTGAAATAGGCCAGCCACAAACAAATGTCATTTGAATCCACTTTTATGAGGTACCTAGAATTGGCAAATTCACATAGACAGAAAGTAGATTTGAGGTTATCAGGGCGAGGGGGAAGGAAGAATGGGGGACTGTAGTTAATGGGTTTAGAGTTTCTGTTTGGGAAGATGAAAGAGTTCTGGAGATGGATGGTGGTGAAGGTTGCCCAATAGTGTGAATGTAGTTAGTGCCACCGAGCTGTACATTTAAAAATAAAGTGGAAATATTGATGCTATATATGTTTGAGTGCAATTATAAAAATGGATCCAGGTGTGGTGGCTCACACCTGTAATCCCATCACTTTGGGAGGCTGAGGAGGGCGGATCACCTGAGGTTGGAATTTCAAAACCAGCCCGACCAACGTGGAGAAACCCTATCTTTACTAAAAATACAAAAAATTAGCTGGGCGTGGTGGTGCATGTCTGTAATCCCAACTACTTGGGAGGCTCAAAAAACCCAAATCAAAAACAAAAAGAAAAATTAGCCAGGCGTGGTGGCGCATGCCTGTAATCCCAAC